CCAGCACTCTTTCCTTACCACACAGCGATGCTGCAGGACAGCACACACACAAGAACAAGCAGTGGGGCACACACCCATGAACGACTGCTGCTGCTGTCCGCATTCTTGTTCTTGATTAACTCTTTCGGGTCGACCTTTGGCACATCAGCACTCGCAGTCGTTGGGAGTTCTGCTGACGACAGCTGCGTTTCAGTGTCTTGTTGCTTCTTTTTACGGGCTTGTAATTCAGCCTGTAGCCGTTTCAACTCAGTCTCTGCCTGGGCCCGCGCGGCCTCAAGAGCAGCCTTTCCCTTGGCGACGTGTTTCTTCGCTGCCTCTTGTTCTCCCCTCAAACTCTCGGCAAAGCTCTCTGCAAGTTTTGCCACCTCTCTTCCTGCCGCAGCTGCTTCATTAGCATCCTCCTTTGATTTGTTCGCGAAACCCATAGCAAAATAAATACGGTCCAATTTATCGATTGCACGCAACTTAGTATTGCGCAACGGATCGCAACCCTCACAGTTCGCCAATAGAGCATTTTGTAGGGCCTCACGGTCGTCTTTTTCAACGTAGTCCGCCGCCTTTTTAGCAAGCCAGGCTGCCTCCTTTGCTTTTGCAGAAAGCTTTCCAGCCTGCACAGCCATCTCATCTGCCTGTGTTGCGACGTTCTGTGCTCCCTGTGATGCTATTGTAAAGTTGTCCGCCGCTTTCTTGGCCTTCAGTGCTGCTACCTCAGAGTTTGTCGCGGCCGCAGAGGCTTCACTAGCCGATTCATTTGCTTTCATGGCCAACTTCTGTGCCTCTTTCACGGCGGCCAGCGCCTCCGCAAGCCAGTTGGCTCTGACCTCTCCTTCAGTATCCGTCAACTTCATTATTGGAGGAGCCACCTTCGCAGCCTCCGCCGGAACCGCCGTCTTCGTGCTTATGGTGCTCCAAAACGTATCATACTCCTTTTTCAGCACATCATAAGCCTTTGCAAGTGCAGAGAACGCTTTTCCGGCGTCCGTTTCTGCATTCTCCGCTCTGGTCACGGCCACTTTTGCATTACTCAAAGCATCATTGGTTGAACTCGCTGCATTTTTAAGTGCTTCGGCTGCCGCAACAGCCTTTTCGAGGGCGTTCTCAGCCTTCTGCAGGCTTTCTAAACTATCAGTATGGGCTTTTCTCTCAGTGTCACCGTTCACATTCTGCTGGGCAACTGAGGTACCGGAATTCTGGACAGCTGCCTTCCCCGGCTCTGCAGCAGCCGTCACACAGACACAAGCGCAGCACAGGGCAAGTACCAGCAGCACGGGGCGCACCATCATCACTCCTCCTGCTCGCATCATTACTGCTGCCTGAGAGTATCCTTCTTAGCAATGTGTCACACAAACTGAGGGAAGAGGCACAAAGAAATTAAAGCAGGGGAGCAGCACCACAAGCACACAGCGGTGTTCGCTGAACCAATGCAAAGAAGAACTTCACCTGACCACAGGGTGTCACTCTACACCCATACGCACACACACACACACCATCTCTCAATGAAGAGCCTCCGGCTACGTACCGCAGTGATGCGCCAAGGAGTGTTGGGGCTCAGCGGTGCACTCCACCAGCCAAAGGAACGACACACTCCAACGTCGTATTCGGCAGTCGGCGTCCCCAGCAGGCACCGTCGTCAGCAGGGAGGGAGGCACAGAGGGCAGCGGCGCAGTGCAGTGGGGCAGGAAGAAACAACCCACAGCCACCCAAACAGACACACACTCAGAAGGAAAGCACTCGACGCACAGCCACAGCGCACAGTGCAGCCATCACGGGTCTCTCCCTCGCAGAGCGTCGCAGCGTCTTCAAAGCAGCGATACCCCACGCAGCCCACCACTGCAGTCCCAATAAGGGGGCGCCGGCAAGGCACAGACGCACGCATCTCCACCACAGCCACCAAAGAAAGAAACACACAGAGCAGGAGCAGCCACTGCCCACAGCACGTACGGGGCGCACAGCTGGGCCACAGGTGTTGTCGCAGCTCCGCCGCGCAGCCGCACACACGACACCGCCGCACAGACCACACAGCACACTCCACACACGCACATCACACAGCGCAGCACCACAGACAACACAAATGTGGCCCACACCGTCACTCCACAGCAGCACAAGGACCACACGAATGCCCCTCAGCCACAGCAGCCGTGCACAAGGGCACACCTTGCACGCACAGCACCGTTCGTCACAGCGGCACCCTGCAGGGAAGTAGCCGCCCAGCACAAACTCCGCAGCTCCACTGCGTGTTGTCGCGGCGGGGCAGTCACCCCATCTCACACACAACAGCCACCGTTGCCACCACCACCACCACCACCACCATCACGCCCCCTGAGCCCACTGTCTACAGCAGAAGAGAAGAGGCACACACCACGCCCGCAGGCACATACGCACACGACGCACCACTATGGGAGAGACCAGCAGCCACACAGGCACAACAAAGGAATCCAAGAAGGATCGCATCACTTACCGAAAACAATCAAACAACGGGGCACAGCACAAATGGCCCGCTTGAGTGAAAAAGCGAAATTCCCAAACCCCCAAAACAACAAGAAGGAACCATGCGAGTGGCTTCACATGTATGCCCACACGGAGTGCAGCACCGGCTCCCACACTGCCACTCCACACCGTAGCAACGAATGCACCCAGCACGGCCACATGCGAGCCAACCCGCATGGAGCAAGATGAATCACTTAACAAAAACAAACAAACGAGGGTAACGGGCAGCACAAAATGCCACAAAAGAGAAAACAAAGCAAAGAGCATTAAAGGAAGAAGAGCAGCGGCGGCACAAGTAGCCCTAACACTTTTGGGGCAGCTGATACCCGAAAAGCACTTCCATGGATCTTCGTGTGTGCGCTGGACGGTGTTCCCCCGGAGACCCAGAGGCACCGGCCCACCGCAACTCTCAGCGCACAGCCGCGCAGGCAGCGAGGGGGCGGGACCGGCACACCAGAGCGTCGGGTGCGCTCGAAATGTGCCGGGCGGTGAGGCGCACATGAAACACACCGGAAGCAGGTGGAAGGTAAGAAGGGGTGCAGCATGTCGGAGGTGGGGCTGCTAGGGTGCACACAAACACACACACACAGAGCGGGGAGCAGAGGCACAATAAGGCCAGCAGGCCAGAAACTCGCAACCGCAGCCGCAAAAGAAGCCCAACGTGCGCATTACTGCACACCACACGCAAAAGACACAACACTCAGTGGGCGGTTCACAGCCCTTCACGAAGCAAAGCCCAAGTAAAAAAAGAAAAAAACATCCACCCAACGATGTAGCGCCCAATCAACATCGTCGAGGGTTCATTCAACGGCGCAGAGGCCGAAACGGGGACGCAACGAAATGTAATTAAGAGAATTTCAGCAAGTGGGATTATTCCCATGGCGGCTGCACGCAGTTAAACGGGCACCGCCACCTTGCACCAGCACAGCTCAGCACACAGCAAGGGGGGCAAGCACCACCAACGCAAGCAGCAGCGGTGCACGCACCCACGGAGGGCGGCTGGTGCCATCCCCACCCCCATCGCCATTCAGTCCGCCCATCATCGTGGCTTTCACACTCACGTTGGTCTTCACTTCTGTCGGCGCCACGGTGGTTGCCTTCTCTGACGGAGACACATGTTCTTCAGAATCGCCCAGAGAATTCTCGGAGTTTATCGGTGCTGTTTCAAGACTGCTGGGTCCTTCTGGAAAGGTGACTGTAGGAGGAGTAATGCCCGCTGGGTGTGTATCTCTCTCCTGCGCCCCATCGTACGCCTGGTGTTCGTCCTTTTCACTTCCGTGCGGTGCCGCGGTTTGAGATTTCTCCTCTTCTTCGTGGAGAGTGTGCGACTCGGCCGGAGGATCAATCTTCCTTTTGGCTGCCTGCAGTGCAGCCTCAGCATCGCTTCTTTTCTGTTTAGCCTCCCTCAGTACAGCCTCAGCAGCTTGTCTCTTTTGTTTGGCTTTCTGTAGTGCATCTTGTGCAGCTCTGTTCCATTCTGTGGCTTCTGTCAGAAGGCGCACAGGAGGAATCTTCCCTTGAGCTTCCCTCAGCGCAGCTTTAGCAACTGCGATCCGTTTAGTGGCGTCGGTAACAGCGCGTTGTGCATCACTCCTCTTCTGTTGCAAATTCTGAATCGCAGCTTTAGCCCCTGCCACATCTTGTTGCATCTTCTGGTACGTTGCCTCAGCATCATTTATCAGTGTTTCCGCTCTCTGCTTTGCGCCTTGAGCGAACTGAGCTACACCTTTCAAGGCGGTTGCTGCCTTTCCAGCAGGTTCTCGCACAGACGCAATCTTCAAGACCACATCATCGGCGGCACTTAACGCCACACCAGCTTCCGTATCCACCTCTGCAGTGCGTTTCCACGGCATGTCCACGTACTCCATTGGACGTTGAATGCCAGCCTTGTCGCCGTTTTTGAGGTCGTCCAGAGCGTTCTCGAGATCCTGTTTCATATATCCCACAATGTTAAGAACCCCCTCTGCTGCGTACTTCACATCATATGCCCTAGTTGACGCTTCACCTAAAGTTATCGCCACGGTATTCGCGAGACTTGCTGCCTCGCGGGCATTATCCGCCCATTTTTCGGCACTCTCTGTTGCCTTCGTGCCATCCGATAGTGTCGTCAGTAATGATCCCTCTCTTTCCAGGAAGAACCCACTCACCAGTCTGGCGTTATCAGATGCTTCAAAAGCGGCACTTGCCATTTTTTCAATCTCAGCATGTGCAACACCGGCCTTCGTCGCTGCAGTAGTAGCCGTAGTAAGTGCCGCATCCAAACTCTGTAATGCCTGTTCACCAATCGTCTCCACATTACGAATTTTAGACCCGTGAACATCTTCACTTTCCCCACTCTCAGCAGCATCCAGTGCACTTTTTACAGTACTCACTGCGTTGCGTGCGTCGTTCAGCGCCTGCTCAGTGAGTGTCTCGGCCTCCTTTAAAGGATGCACACCATCCACTAAAATATGCTTAGCAGAGTGGATATTTTGCAGGGCATCCTTTGCTTTAGTTGCTGCGGCCTCAGCTGAACTCAGCACATTGATAGTTATCGTCACTCCATTAACAGCTGTTGTCTTTTCCTCCAGAGCGCGCTGCGCTTTTTCTTCAATGCCTCTCCGATTCTGCTCAGCCTCACGCATATCCTCAAAAAATGTATCCGATACTTCCTTTAACGCATTCAGCTTCACCTTCTCGTCACGGTCAGCATCACTCTTTTCCTTCTCTGCTTTACTTAACATTTCCTGAGCTGCGTCTTTGGATTTGGTGGCGCTTTCCAGACTCCTCCTAGCCACATCGGCATCCATCTCAGCGCTTTTCACTTCCACATCAGCCGCACTCAATTTCCACAAAGCACTCTTCACGTCTTCATCAGCTTCCTTCAACGCAGCAGTAGCTTCTTCAATGTCCTTCTCAGCTTGCGCTGCCACCCTCTCCAATGCCTTCCCTTCCAATGTTTCCAGCCCAGCGCCCCCCGCCGCTTCCGCTGCTCTCGAGGCAGAAACACCGGCGTGGCTTCTCTGCCCCACGGCGGGCGCCAACACATGTTTCCCGGACTCCGCCTCCTGCCCGGGTGCCCCGTGGCCTGTGGCAGCCGCAGCCGTCACGCACACGCAGGGGAGGCACAGCGTGAGAGCCAACACGCACAGCACCACGCGGCGCACCATCGCCATTAGCATCGCTTCGACTGAGCGGTCTGTGCAGGGGAGAAGAGAGACGCATCCGGCAGCACACAAACACACACACACACA